TACGTGTTCCATCCGGAAAGACCTTGAGCTGAAATCGATGGATGATAAATCACTTCACAGTTGATCGCTTCCGCCAGTACTCACGCCAATTAGATCGCCCTGCTCCAGCTTTATGTGGGTTTGCTGGGCACCAACGGCAGCCAGGAGGAGATGCAGCAGCAGCAGCAGCAGCAGGAGGCAATGAATCCTTAATGGGTTCCGCATGATTGCAACGAGCACTTTTTAGCCTTCACTTGTAGCACAACACTCTTGCATAGTCCATGAAGCGCATTTAAGCGCATTTATTAATTATGTCGCTTTATGTTTTATTTAAGTATTTAAATGGTTTTTCGTTGGGTATATATTTGCACTCCGAAACTATTTGTTCGCTCGACGCTGGACTGGAAACTGAGTGGCAGAATAAAGAAAAAAAGCCACCATGCCATGGAAAAAGTTTTGTGCTTACCAAAAATGTCTGCTAGAATTATTTGAATGGGTTTTGCGGGTGTCATTACAGCTGCCGCACCAAATCATTCATGCATCCATAGATCAAAACAACAGAAGAGTGACACCACACCACGCCACACAACAGAAACACAGAAACAGCAGCAACAATGCTCCCATGTTTGGTATGCAAGTGGCAGGGAGGGGAAGGGAGGAGTCGTGTCATGGTTCCGTACCAGCTCCACTCGTACTCGAATGTGTAGCTGGAGCCTTAACCAAAAAGCCATCCCCCTGATATACCATCGAATGAGTCGTCGCTTCGAGGGTTGATTGATCACAAAAAAAAAATATTATAAATAAATTCAGAATAAGTTTTAAACTATGATTTGATCTGTAATAAATAAAATAGCAACTGAGTATTCTTAGCTGGAGTTCTGCAACTGTTCTTGCAACTTCTCGTTCCGCCCTCGCTCTTGTTTTTCCATTGAGTTCGACTTTCGACCTGTACTCTCTCTCTCTCTCTCGTACCACTATTAATGTCCAACAAAAATATTTGAGCGCCTCCCAGCCACGGCTTTCCCCCCCTCGGTGGTGTGGGCACGTGAAGTTGTCGCTTTTCTCGTTTTGCTGCCTCTGCAGCAGTTAATTTTCCATTAATGGTGGAGTAATTCCAGCACTGGCTGCTTTTGGTGGTGGATTCTCGACTGTGGCCAAACCGAACCAAACTCTGTGCACCGAGCCGGAGTTCCGGTCTGTGAAGTTTAGCGGCCGATCATTTGTGTGTTTTTGGTCTGCTCATAATTAACATCAATGTAGTCATGACTCTGAGGCTGTTCCAGCATCTGCTGCAATTACCACCATCCACCAGCACATTTATCTATTTTAATTAGTTTAAAATATAATTTTGTTGTTGATCTACGCAGATTACCTGCAGCGACCGCCAACCAGCAGCGACGATGGGCAGCCCTCCGTCAAAAGCCAATCTGCCATTTGCTGCTCCATCCTGCAACCCGTTGCCAGAGCGACGTGCATAATTTCCAGTTAATTACGGGTCTACAAAATGCACATTTAAATGGTCGCTGTGCCGCTGTGCCGCTGTGCCGCTGCCTCTGTTCGTTCGCCTTTGGCGGCTTAATCAATTTATGTTTGCCCATGTGGAGGCGGCACAGAGCGGTTCAGGGCAGGTCGATGTTCAATTATAACAAATGGCAGAATTGGCCCACTTTGGTCATTGTGTGTTTGTCCCTGCACATTGGCCATAAACAAATTAACGTTGACCCATAAAAACAGCGCCAAAGGCTGATGGACCGCGGGCAGGACTCTTTGGTCCAAAGATGACCGATAAGCTCGGCTGGTTATTAAATGATACGCTATCCGAATATGTATACGCTCTCGGCTATAAATAACAAGTGCAGAGTACCTACCACTAAGCCTCACTGAGGATCGCAGGAAACATTCAAGCTTCCCCAAATATTTTCCATTTTGTCACACCCTAATTTGTCTCCATTATCGGTGCACATTCGGTATTTCCCCTGAAGCCACTTCCGCTTTGATGCAGTTTTGTGTTCAGGGGCAGGTTCTGCGCCTTGACAGCATTTAATGACAATACACAATGAGTTTATCATCGATGCAGATGGATCCTTCTTGATTGATGCGTTAAAATGCACTTTCAATCTTTCAATCTCATGTGGGTTAATGTGTCGCCCATTTAATGGCTATTTGTACACTCTGCGAAGAAAAGACAGCTTTAAAGACTTTACCAAATTTATAATTACCAAAATTCGGATTACATTTTTCGTGTGTGCAGCATACTGGCGGTCGCCTGCTTCCGCCATGTTGAACCCCGTTGACACTGTCAAGGTTTTTGTTTGTGTTTGTTTTTTTTTTTTTGGCAAGCCCCCATGTAGCACATTGTAGGATGATGGCTTGATGCATTGTGTAGTGCAGAGCGAATCGCTCTATGGGCAGGCAAACAAAGCAACCGCCGAGTGGAGTGCTACCCGTTCCATTCCCCTCACTATACCCCACATATGGTTTCCAGTTCTATTTCGCGCTACATTATTTTGCATTAATTAGAAAGTGGGCCATGTTCAAGCATGTTCCCCCCACACCACCTACCTTTTACATGCTCGAGTCCGTTAAGTGCTTCCAACTTGTGTGTGGCGTCGACGCGTCGCTGCAGGCATAAACAAAATGGCTGCCGCTGCAGCTGGCATTCGCGTTTGCCTTCGCGCTGTTTGTCTGCAGAACCGTTAAATTAGGCTTAAAGCAGCAAATAAACAAAACAAACAAAAAACACAAAGAACAAAATGCCACAAGAACCGCAACAAGTTTTGTGCATTGTGTTGTTAAATGCCAAACGCACAACTGCCTGGCCCCGACTCGTCCTCATTGCTGTTGTTTCTGCTAATTACGCCGTTACTTGGAACTGGACTCATTTTGCCCAAATCAAATGTGACTACATAACTAACAATATAACAATACATTTGTATTAATTTATAATAACAGAATTGGCCACATATTTAAAAAGTTGTAAATATATTTATGAATACTTTTATTGCATTCACATTTAGGACGTTTTTTGACTAATTCTCTTTCCTAATGAGAGTAAATCAACCTAGTGCTGAAATTAATTGGCCAATAGAGAACCATTAAAAAAAATATGTCAGATCTCTTAGCTAATTGTCGTTGCTGTATATGCCAAAATGCGCCGATATAGATGCAGCAGCCACAGATGCGATGCCATGGAAACCATCCAGCCCCAGAGTGCATTTCCCTGTGCTCCCTGCTCCATCATCTGTGGGTGGCCCACTGCCAGAGAGCTGAAAACTTTTCCAGGAATTTCATTTAAGAGCAGAGAGAAGCATAATCGAAACGGCAGCAGCAGCAGCAGCAACAACAAACAATTGGCTTTTACTGAAATGAAATTTAATAAAGAAGTTTTCAATATGTTTTGGCAATATGTAAACAATAAACTCGCTCCGAACAAAACAAAATAAAAAATCATAAATATTTTTATTACTAAAATGAAACAAGAGCCAAACTTTCGTAGACTTGCAAGGCTCTGGAGCCCAGAGTGTCCTCTTTGCTACACACTCGTAAATATTGTTGCATTGTGGCAGTCCTGTGGCTGCCAGGCTCAGCAATCTGGAAATGTTTGTATAAATTGTTTTGCAAATTGTGTTTCTACTTAAGTTCTCTTTGTGTGCGCCAATAAATGTTGCAATGCCTGACTTGTGGCAATGGTCTTTTATGACGAATTTATTGAAGCTACATTTATTATCGGAAAAGAGGTTGAACCTCGGAAGAGAGTTGAACGTCGCAACAATATGTGGCGCAGCAGCTTGCTCCGACAGTTGGGTCAGGCAAATTCGAAATTGTATTCCGCACATCTGGAGGCTTTTTCGTCAATTATCTTGGAAGCTTGTCAGGTGTTAGGCCAAACTGTCTGTGGCATTGATATACAGAGCTTTCAATTGGTTGGACTATCGACGAAATGGCGGAGGAAATTGCCATGGACTGTGGTCCGAGTGTTTTAAACATTGAGCTTTATCACAAAAGTCAGGCAGAGAGACAGCAGCGGCAACACCCAAATAGTTTTTTCCTCTAGTTAAGAAAACTAGAAACATGGATAAGCATTTTACGGCAATGAAATTTGACGCTCGCTCAAAAGTTGCTCGCTAATTCCGTTGGCAAACTTTCGGCTCAACTTTTGCTCAAGGTGTCATTTCGGGGAATGTGCCACGTGGTGGCTGCATCCTCGGAGGTGAGTGTCTTCTGGAGCTTGCCGAATAGAAAACACATTAGCTGCATAATTTAGAGGGAGAAATACAGACGAGGTTGTTGAGTTTCAGTTAAATTTTTATTCAAAAATCACATTTGTTGTTTGCCATAAATACGTAGGTAGATATATATATATATATGTATATATATATGTATGTATGTGTGTATTTTATATATTTCCGCTGCGATGCTTTGCCAATACTATATGTTAATATGCGGATAGGATTTTCCTTTTCGTTATGTACATTAATTCATGTGAGTGTCTGGGTGTGTTTCTGTGTGGCTGTGGTTGTGGCTGTGTGGCTTTGAAGCTTTAACAATCTTCACTAGGCAATAGGTTTAAGCACATTTATTATATGTATTTACTTGCATTTATCTGTCATGTTTTCATTTTAGCTGCAGAGCTCAACATTGTTTTGTTTTTATTTCCTGTACAAATAGATGACCAGATTCCATGGCCGGGGAGATCTCAAATGTGAATTTACAGAAACAAAAACAAAATTCAATTAATTTACACTCGATATTCGCCAGCAGCGCATCGAAACTGATTGAATTTCAATAATGGCATTGAGTATGTTCGACAATGGACTGCAATGGGAATGGGAATGGGAATGCTGGGTATTTTCTATCATTCTTAAGCTCAGATATGTGTTCATTGAGACCTTGCCTGCACAGATATGGGATATAAGATTTGGGATATAATTAGGTATATTTATGTATACTCTTAACAAAGGGAATTTAGTTTACAAATATCATTGCCTATTTCCATTGCCCTTAATTTTCTTACTTTATTGTCAGTCATGTCAAGCCCGGGGTCTTGCAATGGGAGAAATCCTCCAGAAATCGATTCAATCTTCAACGTTAACTGAAAGCGGGCAGAAAAACCCATTCGATTGAATTTCAGTGGACAATTGTTTTTGAATAAATAATTTGTCATTTCTTTTCCAATTTCATAAATCGATTGCCCGCAACGACCGACTGCTCCAAGTGCACCCATTCAAATGGCCATTAACGTTGCGAGCTCCCCACTCTGCTACACACTCTCTGCCTTCTCTTTATTCCCATGTCGCTTGCGAAATCTGCGTAAATCTGCATATTAAGCACCGTAGAAAACCCCAGGCGAACTTTTTTCATACGAGAGTTATTGAAAAACACATGGGGGATTGCCTTTTCGTGCAGTTAAATGCGGCAAAATAATTCATTATGCACAATTATCTTCGTAACGTAGAGAAAAAACCTTTATGGGGAAAACCAGCAACGGGATGAGGGCTGAGGGTAGGTTGATTGGTGGAGGGATTGCATAGGGCCAGGATATACATATTTATGTACATATTCTATGCTATGGGAGGCCATGCATACATAGTCCAATCAATCGTATCACAACATTCATATTCATATTCATTCATATTCATTCATATTTGTATTCCCATTCCATTGGGTTTAAGTTGAATGCTTTTATGCAATAAGTTTGATTACCGTTCAGTAGGCATTAATTACTTTAATTTACGTTAATTGTATTGTTATTGTTGAACGGCCCTTCAAATGGTTTCTTCTTGTTGGCCTTTTTCTCGGTTTTCTGTTTGTTTCTTTTGTTTCTTTGTGTGGGCGGGGCGGGTCGAGGAGCCTTTTTGAATATTTTTGGTCGTGTTTGTTTTGTCTCGGTTTTATTTTGCTGTATGTCTCAAAAGTTTCCATTTGATTTAGTATTATCATTTAAGTTTGTATAAAAAGTGCATTTGTCTGTTGTTCTGTGTGTCTGTTTGCTTGTTTCTTGTGTCAAATACAAAAATCACAAATACAAATACAAATACAAATACAATTATACATACATATGCTCGAGTTATAATACAAATATGTGTGTGTGTGTGTGTGTGTGTTACAGGCAGATACAAAAAATAAAACACACTGTACAAAAATCTCTGGTTTTTCTTCCCTCAGTTCCACATTTTTCAGATACATTTGTGCATAACACATTTATGTGTCTGATTGTGTGTGTTTGTGTGTGTGTGTTTTATGGATGCACTTATGCATGTGTGTGGTGTATCTGTGTGGTGCACATCCTTCGCCTTGGGCCACTCACGCACATTCAGATTGGAATGCATCTGGCATATATTCGTTTATGTGGCATTTCTGAGTATTATTGTTATTCGTAGTCAACGGCAAAAATGTTTGATTTATGTGAATGCGGATGGGAATTGCATTTGTCGTTCGTCCGTCTCTCCGTCAGCCGCTCTATCTGTTTCTGACATGCACTCACACACGCACACGCACACATTCACATGCATCCATAGATATAGTGACATATATGTATGTACATATTACCGATAAGCATATTTGACTGTTAAATGCAAAACAATTTTGCCGTTTGGCAGTCAAGAGTTGTTCGAGTTTTGGGCAACATTCCGGTATGTTTTGGCATTTTATATACGATTTCATTTCAACTTAGTGCGAAGAACCAGCTCAAAAATAGAATCTAGAATCTATTACTAAATAGAATCTAGTGACCAGAAAAACGATAGTTTATACTGCCTGAAACTGGTTCATTCGCAATGGATTTATTTGGAAATATTTGCCGATTTCCCTTGTCCAATACTATTATATTCAGCACCACCAAATTGTGGTGTTCCTCTAATGGCCAACCCAACTCGCTTTGATATGTTGAAGCACTCCCCTCCGATTATTGCCCTGCGCACATCAAAAATGGAAATAGAATATTGACTTAAAATAATTAAATAAAAAATGTGCAAATTGTTCTTATGCATTTCGTGTATATTTTGTGGTAAAAAGTATGTGTATATATTGTAGAAAGAGTTATACTTTTGATATAGTATAGATTGGGCTTAAAGTAACAAAATCTCTCTCGTATCATTTCATCTTTTCTGATCTCTATCTCAACTCATCTGATATGCGTTTGGTTAAAAAAAAATGATTGCATCTTGATACATAGCTAAATGGCCACGAATTATAAACTAAAAGCTGAGTTGTCCAAATAAGAATTGCACATAACAAAGTGGAAATGAAAAAGCTATTAAAAATACTTACTTAAACTTAATATTGCTAATCTATGCTAGGAGAAGGATACTCCTCCTCCTGCCGCTCTGGCTTTTGTGCACACTTGGCTGAATGGCTGCTCGAAGAGCTCATCATACTTATTTGACATTGAATTTACATTGGACTCGGACACTATGCATTAAGGAATTGGATGGAGCCTCGAGTTTGGAACTGAAACTGAGCGGCGTTACACACACATTTACATGGATAATCACTAGATAGCTAGCTATAGCTATGGCTATACGTACATACAGAGTGTGGCAACAACGTGGCGACATACTACATATTGTACGAATACAATACAAACATTTACATACAAATAGAAAACTCAACGCGCACACGGTACAAAAAAGTCGGCTACTTACGCAACTATACATACAGATATATATATATAGAAATACAGTTATAGAGTTATACACATAATACACATATAGAAAAAGTTCATGTCTAGCAGCTTTTGGCTAATTTGAAATTAGCGAAAAAAGATGGCAAAATCGACTGCGGCTGCGACTGCGACTGCAACAGCTGCTGCTCCTGTTCCTCTTCCTGTTTTCTCTGGCAGTTTCACAACTACATGGCTAATCGTATCGTATGTAGAGTCCTATAATATATACACACACTGCTGTTACATATACATACATAACTGTATAACTGCAGCGTCGAATGCTTTTACGTTGATGTACACAAAAAGCATACATTTACATACATACTACATACATCCTGCTGCTGCGGATCCTAACTAACTTCACGTCTCGTATCGATCTCTCGTTTCGCTACTAATAATAATTAACATAGTTTTTTGCATACAGCATTAATTTCTTCTAAATGGCTATGAGTGTGTGTGTGTGTGTGTGTGTGTTACTCTGTTTGTGTATGTGTGTGTGTGTGTGTGTGGTGTTTATGTATTCAGTACTATTAACGCTTGTAGCTATTGCCAGTATTCACATAACGCTAGCTGCCAACCAACTCAATCTGGCGATATTTTTTGCGCAAATTTGAAACTGGATCACGATACAGCATGGGATCCATACGCAAATTGGAACGTATCAGCGGCATGTAGCTATAAAAAACCAAAAGAAAAATAACCAGAAATCATAATAAACATTAGCATATGTGGCATTGTGTCTATGATTATTGGGACACTCACCCAAACACTGCTGCAAAGGTATTCAGGCAGCTCTGGCGCTGTATAAAATGATCGGGATCATTCCAGGGTGAGCGGCCCGTCTCGCGATCCTTGTAGCCCTTGCGCTGCGTCACTTTAATCGGCGGTTTTCTGGTCACGTGCGAGACCAGCAGGTTCATTAGGATATCCTCGCAGTTGGAAGACTGCTGTACAGTCTTTAGTAGCAGCAACGACAGCCAGTTGGTGTACAAGTAGTTGTAATAGCGGTGGTAGAAGGCCGCCCCCGTCAGCACAATCGAGTAGTAGTTCGTCCACTTGGACGTGTAACCCCAAGCGTTCTGCAATCAATGGATTATTGATGAGACAATGGCGAGACACACGAACTAGCCCGCAACTAACCTTGGAGTCATCCCAGAAGTGTGCTCTCGCCGGATAGCCCACAATGCGCTCCGGGAAATCCCGCCACACGGTGTACGCAAAGTCCAGTTCATCCGTATTGAGTATGGCATCCTCGTCCAGCGACAGCACAGCGTCTGTTTGTATCTCGTCGTAGGGCACGAATCGTTGCGATATGCTCGGTCGTTCCTCAGTCGTTTGGGCCGTTGGCCCAGCTCCACTCCGCGTGTTTCCCCCCAGGGCAACCACATGCAGGGGTATGTGATAGGTGGGAGGCCAGCGCTTCTTCAATGGCAATGGGCGATCAGCCGCCCACAGCACAAGAATCTAAGCAGCAAAATAACGAGATGTTTAAAGATCTTTGTGGGTCTGAGGGCTTGTACTAGAAATACTTACACGATCCACAAATTGGCTCTTCGTTATGGTCTTCACCAGCTTGTAGAGTGCCGCATTTGGGCCCATGGCGGCTCCTATTTGCACATATATGACGGCCGTGTAGTTGTGCCGCGGCTCCGCGCCCATCGAATTGAGCATGAAAGGCATAAATCTGTGGATTATCGAAGGGAGTTAAGCCTGCGAATGGAAGGGAATAATGCATTTGCTTACCTTGAACTGTCGGCGAAAGTGGGCAGCGTGAGCAGGGCGCCGGGTGAGCTGTTCCACACCAGACTGCTGCGCACCGGATAGTCCGGCAAGCGTTCGCGAATGATCTGCAAGAGAATGTGAGAGTGGATGAGCTAATGGCTGTTTAATGGCTTATCGATATGCCAAAGTGATGATTGCCAATTGATTGCCTAATGAGCAGTGGCAAAGGCAGCTGCAGCAGCCACAGCCAGAGTGGAGTGCACTCCATGCGGGCGGGGCAAATTGCGTTTTGAAGAGCCACCGACTGCCAATCCCAAATTACTCAATTCCTTCTCTGTTTGTCTATGCCTAAGTCTGTCGGCTGGTCGGTCTGTCTTGTGGTCCGCACTTGAGTGCGATAATTCAATGGGTCTGTGAGCTGTTGCCTAATTTTACGCTTGGCACAGATAATGGTCTGCTCGCCCTTCTTCTCCCTCAGCTACATGTATATGGCGGAGGCGTTACCACAGCTTCCGCTGCGCAACGGAAGGAACACGGCAACCTCGGCGAGGCGGAAGCTCGTTCGCCACTCATCATCAAGTGCTCGACCAAAGGGGAAGAAGTTCTGTGCAGGGGCTCGGCTCCAATCTCTCACCAGGCATCCATCGCGTGTCATTAATGGCGCGTTAATTTGTCGCTCAATGCGCGGCTACGCCTTAAAGTATGCCAAGCCAAATTAGTTATGCACAGGAGCCGCAAGTAGCACGTCGAAGACGAAGTCAAAGTCCCTCCACGTCTATATTGGTTTTGGCGCTCGCTCTGGCTTCCTTGTGGCTGGGCTTGAATGGAATTATAATTGTAAAGCCCGACCCGAAGCTGAGCCAACACCGGGAGGTCTTTAGCTGCAACAGCACCGCGGAAACCACACAGGCTTCTGGCGAGCACTCTCGAGCAAATTCAACTGAAGATTCAACGAGATTTAACTGCTTCTTAAACTTCTAAAGCTTTAACAACCGCATGAGAAACTGGCCCTTCTTTACAATTTATGGGTCTAAGGGCCATTAGTTTATTTGTTTCTGCTGTGCTCCATCGTCTATCTCCTTCGCCCTCGCTGTTTTCTTTTTTTTTTTTTTTTTTTTTCGATTTTTTCCTTCTAGTTTGCATTCATCAGCTGCCACATAACTCAGCCCCTCCGCCGTGCCCCGACTCGTTAGACGCATTCCACTACCCACAACCCACATTCCACATTGCACCTTCCGTTGCCTTCCGTTGCAGCTGCAGCAACCAAATTCAACTGGAATGTCGGGTCGGGGCTGACGATCCCTCGAATGGCTCCTTGTCTGGCTGGGCGCGTGTCTCGAGTGCCTGCTTTACATTTTGTAATTATAATTCCCTTCTTTGGCGCATCGCTGTTTTATCTGCACACAGGCGCGGGTATAATGAATTGTAAATGTGTAAAGAAGGAGACCAGTCAATGGAGTAAACATTTCTCTACATACATAGCTTCACTTGAGTCCCTTTTCTTAGAGCGAATCAATGTCATTCGCTGCTTGCAAGGGTATCTAAAACTTCGGCTTCTCCTTCTTCTTTCTGCAGTTCACCCACTTCTCCGCTCCTCTCTCTCTCTCTCTCTCTCTCTCTTTCTCTCTTCCTCTGTGTGTATTTCTGCATAGAAATCGCACAACTAGCGCGAGCAGCGTCGCGCGTGTTTATTTACCGTTTCCTTTAGCGCTAAGTACGTGTGCGGGAATGTCTCCCTGTCCCCCCTGTCGCCCACCCGCCTGTCATGTATGCATCTGTGTTTGCAAGCCTGCGACATAATTAAGTAAATCTCTTGCTGTTGACGCTGCAGCATAATTGAGAGCGCAGCCGGGAAGGATATGGCCGCCTGCCTATGATTCAATTATGCGCATTGCCTATGTGTGCATATTTATGTAGATGTGTGTAGGCCGGACACCCCTCCCTTTCTCACCTGTCTGTCTGTTTTGGCCACATTTTAATTGGACAACAAAGTGGATGTAATACACTTAAAGTCGGTCAAAGCGTAAGAAGAATATCTGAGTTGCCTGGCAAATATTCAACCGATTTGCTTCGCTGCAAATGTCATGAGCACTTCTTTGCCACTGCTTTCGCCCCAAACCCAATTTGGATGCCAGCCAGCAGACTTATCGCAGCTGCAGAACAGAACAGAACACCAACAGCAACACCAACAAAAACTGAACGAGTTTTTGGCACTACTTAACGAGAGCCAAGCAGAGATGGGTCTGTGTGTAGAGAGAGCGTGCCACCCACAGGAAATCAGGCAAAACTTCATATCCGTTTCGCATCAGCGATGTGGTGAGAACTGTTTGTAGTTGAGTGACGATTAAGTTGCAGGTACAACAACAGCAGCTAACACCCACGCATACATATATATTATTGTAGCTGCAGGGCCCCCGGGTATCCAATGGAGCGGATAATGTAAGCACATAAAACAGGTGGATGCATCCAAACATCCACACACCACTTCCTCCATCCCGCACTTCGATTGAGAGCTTTGGACCTGGGAAATGCCTTAAGATTTTCACAGAATTGAAACTGTTGTTCGACCCAAGAAATTAAATATCCCCACCTCGAGCCACTGCAATGAGTTCTTTTGAGAAGACATGAACATATGTACATATACACGCATACTTATTCATGCTCGTGTTACACAAACTTGCTGGAAATTAATTGCATGCGAAAGCAGAGAACTTCTTTTGCCAAGTTTCTCTCAGATGTCTTGCACACGTCTGGCTGCCACTCGTTTATGCGCAGACAATTTTCGTGATCCGGGTTTTGGCACTTGCTTCGCTGCAATTTTAATTAAATCGCTCTGAAAATCAGTCTTCTACAAAAAGCAATCGAATGGGGCAAAAGGGAAATTTGGTAAAGGTACGCTGCAGATTGTTTGTTTGATTTTTTCCGTGAAATTACTTCGAGGTAGATGAATTCCTTAGGCAAATTACTATCTGAGGATCTTGCTAGCAGATATTTCCAATGGTTTTCTCGCAAACGGAGATGCCCAAATGAAGACGAGAGCATCTGCTATTTTTCTTAGCATACTTTTCGGGTAGAGCCACTTCCACACTTTCATGTGAGGAGGGGTGCTGCAACAGCAGCTGCATACATAAAATACTCCCTCTTAGCCAGGCCAAAAGCTACACTCAGTGGCACCCAAAACACTTCAATGCAGGCGCAGGACTTGGGGGCGGGATGAGGGTTCTGTAGAACACAAACATGAAATTAACTTATGCAAGTAGCGAAGGAGAGACGGCAGAGAATGTCAGTGAGGGAGAGAACGAATGCTAAAATGATATGCAAATGCTTTCCACTAACTTTTCGCCATCCAACTTTATTTGCTTAAAAATTAAGAAACGTCAAACTAGTCGCCCAAGAATCTGCAGCAGGACATGGAAATGCAATGAAATTTAACAATAAATGCCAGAAAGAAAGGCGTGGTAGATCGTCCGATTATATAATTATCCGAAAGGAATACATTTGGTAAGATTTTAGTATGCTGACACAAGATTTGGATACAGAATATTCAGAATGAAGCCCAATCTGTGACAAGCAAATTAATGAAGATTTCAATATTTATTCGAATTTTTTCTTGAACAAATTATATTTAATTCTTAGTGTTTTTGATGCTTCATCCCCTCCATATGTGTGAGCATGTTTATAATTATGAAAGACTACCAGAAAAACTATACACACGACCACGTGCCGTATGCGCAATAAGTGTTAAACATCATCCATCAATTCCATTAAGAAACTGCCACAAAAAAGCGGAGGCAATACAAACCAATATTAATTCCATAGAACGTAGAAAAGCATCAACAAAAAGTGAATATTATTGTTTCGCGCTTTTCAGGAAACGGCAACAAATTTTGCTAACCGAGAGCCAAACTCAGTTGGCATTCAATTTGGGTTTAATTGTTCGTGTTTCTGTTGTCGTACATTTTGTTCCCATTTTTATTTCAGACGATTTGAAATTGTTGCGCAAATGTTAATTAAGTGGCAGTTGGGCCGAAAGCGAGATTTGAATAATGAAGCACAGAATAAATTCAAATATATATTCAAGTTAAGTGAATTATTTTGCAAATACATATATTACAATTCAACCGAATGATGTCTGTTGATTTTTGACACATTTCACCTTGCACAAGGTTCTCGCTTCTCCTTTAATATTTTGTTGCTTGCTAGACCTCAGCTTAATATTCTTGATCGTTGCCTATTTCGTTCATTCATCTTATAGCGTCATTTGCCATGACTTCACGAAACTTTAAGCTGACGATGATGTCATTATTGTTGGCAAACTTCGTTTGTCGCTGTCATCGCTCCCCGAACAACCAAAATAATGAACGGCAGCAGCAGAAACATCAACAAGCGTACGGGGAGTTAAAGTTGTGAAGCGGCTTTTGACAAATTCGTTAAACAACCGAAAATAAAATCCAACAAAATGACAAAAATATACAAAGGAATACGTACAGCAGAGTCAAACAAGTTTAGACTACAGAGCGAGACAGCGAGCGCTCGCTGTGCAAATAGAAAGAGGAAAAGGGACAGGAGATAGACTTGAATTTATTTTTCAGTTTGTGAAAATATTTTGCATATATTTGCGAGTAGTTTTTCTCTGTATATTTCGAACATTGATAGGTGCAGGGGCAAGACACCGCCTGCAGATAATATGTATGTTACAGAACAAGAATAAATACTGAATAAATATTTATGCTAAAAGTTGACACAAATCAACAACCAAACAGGACCCCAGGGGGTCTTCCTGTTTATTTATTTGTCGTTATTTCTTTTAATTCTATCAAAAATCATACCCTATGAAACAGCTCTTCTAATTGCGACTGATACGCGTTTGAGCGAGTTATTTAAGCTGAGTCTTAAACAATATCTACACCAACAAAGTTTTCAATGCAAAAGTTGCCGAAAAATAAGTAATAAATTTTGATGATGATGTAAAGGGCATCCCATTCGAACCAATTGTTGGGTTTTAAAGCCCCAACTGGGGCACTGGGGAACACAGGAAGCTTTAAAAAACAGAAGAAGGTATTTTCTTATTACGAAATTCAATTAGAGCAGGCAAACAACTTTCCACATGAGACTTTCTGATGGA